CCCCCCCCCCCCCCCCCCCCCCAGCTTCTCATATTTGAACCCTGCAGTGACATCCACTGTACTACTGGTTACACAAATCAGTGCTGGGATTCAGATTGCTAAATCTTAATGCTTATTTAAATGTTCTGCATGGTAATTTCCATGAGGTGTTTGATACCTGCTGAGCTTTATACATCTAGAATTTCATGAACCTGCTGTTATTCTGTCCTTTGCATTGGCTTTTATTTTTCTTTTTTCCCACAGGCTGGGAATAGCTTTTGCTTATTATGGAGTCATCCTGGCCAGTGCTGAGTTACTGGAGCGGGACCTGGTTTGTGGCTCTCAGGCATCAGTAACGGAAGAATTTGGAGATCATTCACAGGAAAACCAAAGCCCGTGTCACTGTCGCTTATTTGCCCCTTCAGATTACCAGACCATGATCATCAGCACAATTGGAGAGATTGCATGTAACAGAAAGTCTTCTATCTTTTCTTTCTGTAGCTTTAATACACTGTGCAAAGTGTTTAGGTCAGTAGATTGACATGCACAAGCATAAATCATCAGTATGATTTGCAAACAATTCATCCTGCATTGCTAGTTAGTGCAAGGCCTGTGCATCACTTCTGTGGGACTCAGCACTTTGATCCTTCAAGGAGTCATTATTCTGACTTCAGTCCAAAAACCACTCCGGGTGAGATCTGGAGAGACACTTGAGGCACCTCCAACTAAGTGTATGTTCTAGATCAGTGGTTCCCAGCCTCGGGACATGACCCAAATTAGGGTCATGGGGGGTCCACAGTAGGATTGTGTTGGCCCCACGGAGCCAGGCGGAGCGGCCGCAGTCTCTCCCTCAGGGAAGCTGTGGTTTGGCCCACCTCCTTCCCCATGGCATGAAGGTTTCTTTACATTTCTTTCAGTCAGAAATTCTGTCTGCGGGGTCCCTCACAAAGTTAAGGGGGCCCCGCACGGCCTGATTTGCCCCCATCCCCACATCCCCTGAGGGTTGCCTCTGGGTTGGGGAGTCCTGATTTAAGGTCATGGCAAGAAAAGGCTGGGAACCACTGTTCTAGATTATGAAACACATATTACTCTCCTCCTTTCCCAGAGAAGGTCAAAAAGGAAGGTACATCTCATACACTGGAGAATGTCAGGAAATTGAAATTAGACGCTGGTAATGATACAGTACTCTCATCCTGGAGGTCAGTCTGGAAATGCAAGTCCAGATGAGAAAAAACAAGGAAGACAAGTATGTGTAGCTGCTCCCACCTCCACATGTCAGGTTGCTCTAGCACAGGGACCCACCAGGCCATTCTATCCAGCCTGCGGGGCCCCTAACAAATTTAGAAAATCAATATTTATCTTCTCCTGGCTGCCTGTCATGCAGCCCTCTATGGCTTGCCAAAACTCAGTAAGTGGCCCTCTGCCTGAAATAATTGCCCACCCCTGCTCTAGCACATGCTGGGTCCGGAGCCTGCTGTGTCTCCACATTGTTTTCACAGAAAGCAAAGAAGCGTGCCCACTGCTGTCCTTTCCTATGCATGTCCCAGACTAATCCTCCATCTGTATCAGTCATTGTACTGCTCCTTTCTCCTATGTGGTGCAGGGAAGGGAAACTCTGTGGGAACAGGACCCCAGCCTCATCACTTTTACTTCTCTTGGTGATTCAGGTAGCTCAGATACTGTGTGGTGGGGGAGTGGGGAGAAGTTGTCGTCTTGAGTTAGCTACTGGAATTCTGAGACATGCATAGGTGTCTGTTCTGGGGCTGCATGTCAGATACAGTCAGGATCTGCTCTTAACATTTTGTGGGCCTTGAGCCCTTGATGACTTGTCCCAGGTCACATAAGCAGTCTTTGCTGGTTCTGGGAGCAGACCTCCAGATTCCTTGAGTTCTAGCACACTGCCTCTAACCAAAACACCATCTTTTCTTGCTCTCTCACAGTAGTATTAGCCTGTGATTGATTCACTAATTTGACATCATGGCAGCTCTTGTACAAGAGCAATGTGAGTCTAGACTGTGCATGAAGCAGGCATCATAAGTATAATACAGGAAGGAAGGCTTAACGATAAAAATCCTGACATGGAAAGTAGGATCCTGGTGTTGGGCAACCCTTCTTCTGTTTCTACTACCAGGGGACGATTCCTAGCCAGGAAATAGTGAGCAACAAATAAGGTCTAAAAACAGGTAAAGAATCTAACCCCAGTCTGACATTCTTGTTTTATTCTTTTTCCCAGTAAATCCCTTAAATATTGTAGGCATCAATTTTCTAGGAAGACGACTGAGCCTGTCTATAACAATGGGATGCACTGCTCTGTTCTTCCTGCTTCTCAATGTCTGCACAACAAGGTACCTGTACAATTTGTATGCTGGTAATGGTATGGTTGATTGCAGTACCATAGTCAGGTGGCAGGGCCTGTTAAATTCTCTATTTGCTAATCAGCTACTCTGATCATTCTCTTCGCAGTTGCACCTCACTTCCCAGCAAAAATGTGATAGCAAAAGCTGTAATGAGAGCTTGTATTACTGAGACTACGTGTCTCACAAAATATACTGTAGGACATTTACTAGCATGCTAAGACCTTGAAAATAATTACAGCCAGCCTATGCATTAAGCTAAGTAAACACAGTCCATTGAGACAGCCACTATCTTTGGGTTTTTTCTTCTTCTTCTTGTGTAATGTGTTTTCTTATTCACCCAGCTGGGGAGTCCAAAGGGAGTGGAGGGTGCTGATCTATGTGAATTAACAAGGTCTGATTGTATTCACTAAATGAATGTTGAATGGAGGAAAATTTCCATATCCTTCCTAATAAAGCTGGATCAGGACTTCAGAGAGTGCCTATGAAATGCCCTTTCAGTTTAAAGATTCTGGTCTAATCTCAGTGTCTTTGGCAATAACTATTTACCAAGGTGAATATTCTCCACCCTTCTTTCTTTCTAGTGCTGGTCTGATCGGTTTTCTTTTCATGCTGCGTGCTTTGGTGTCAGCAAACTTCAATACCATCTACATTTACACAGCAGAGGTGGGTCCCCTTCTGGTATTTCTTCTCCAACAAAGTGTATAAAATGGATGAAGGCACATTTGAGTAGTTTGGTGACTGTCCTCATTTTAATCACATAGTTACAGTGACTTTACTATATCTGAGGGTCTCTGGTCTTATGCTAGTCTCTGAATGCTGTTTTAATTGCCTGTTCTGCTTATGTGTATACAATCAGATACAAAACTGGATGAGTAGCTGAGATGGCAAGAAAAAGAAAATAGGAATTGCCATACGAGACCAGAGGCACAGTCCACCTGCTACAGAATCCTGTCCCTCATGGTAGCCTGTTCCAAATTCTTCAAAGGAAGAGGCACCCCCTCATAATGACCACTTACTAAATAATGTCCCAATGGATGGAAATATCTCCGTTTGTTAGTGGGTTGATTGATGCTTCACAGTAGGAAGGTTTATCCCTCTTAATTTTTACAGTGGAATTTCACCGCAAATGTTTTTAGCCATGGAAATCTCGTCTTCAGTGATTGTTCATGCCAGTGAGTTCTACAGATTTATTTTGTGTTGTGTGAAAATAGTTTCTTTTATTGGGGTTAAGTACTAGGGCTATGTGAAATTTTGCTGGCCATTTCACTTCAGCACTGTTTCCACCAATTTTGAGGTCAAAACAGGAAAGCTGGAATGAAACAAAGGCCATCAAAATAGCCTCAAAACAAAATGAGGCTGGTCGAATATGTTTTGAAAGTCAAAATGTTTTGACCATAGGCTGGGGATAGGAAGCCAGTCTAGCTGGGCTGACTTTCCATCCCTAGCACAAGATCCGGCAGGGGGGTGGCTAGGCGGCCCAGCTGGGCTATTTCTCCATCCCCCGCGCTAGATTGCGCCAGGCTGGCACCCCTGGCATGATCTAGGGATGGGCAAGCAGCCCAGCTGAGCTGCCTCCCACCCCTGACACAATCTAGCAGGGATGGGAAGGCAGCCCAGCTGGGCTGACTTCTCAACCCCAGTGAAAGGTCAAAACAGCATTGAAACAGCCTTTCTGTTTCAATGGAATGGAATAGAACAGCTATTTTGACTTGAAATGAAATTCGATACGAAATACTGTTCTTTCGAACCGTTGAAATTCAAGGTGAAACAGAATGGTGCCGTTTCACACAGCCCTATTAAGAACCCATTTTATACTTGTGTACCACACGGATCTTTCCTCCAAAAATTAGCCTTCTAAAATTGATACATGTATCTTAAGGGATGCTGATTTTCTGCCCAGAATAGTAGCAATGGCATTTCTATTCAGGCATTATTAAGGGAGTCGATTAACTTCATGACTCATAATCTCCTTGATTTCTGCCAATTACTCTTAACTCAGAAGGCATTAATGACCCGTTCTCCTTTTTAACAGCTCTGATTTTTTCCACTAATCAAGCTGTCCTTAGGCAACTGTGCTGAAGAATTTGCAGTTTAGTGATTCCTGGTCTCTCTCCTCTAATTTCTCAGCCCCCAGACTGTTTTTATCTTTAGATTTGTGCATGAGTCCAGTCTTCAAGAGCTGCTAACAGTTTAGCCATGAAACGCTTAAAACTGTAGCTTTTACATGACCAGGAAAAAGGGGAAGTCAGAGGAAGTTTAGATTCTGCCACTGATACATGTGGCCAAACTCTGGAAAAGTTGTTTTTTTCACCCTTTGTTCTGCCTCCCCAAATATAAAGTGTGTCTTTTCTTTGTGGGCATGTAATATGCAAGACAATACAGTGTATTACCTTTCAGTTTCACAAAAAGCCCCTTGATGTAGCATTACAAGGAAAGGCAAATAGAAGCACCTGCTCAACCTGCTCACTGTCATTAATTATTTAGTGTAACACAGTGATGCTTATCAGAAGGCACTGACATTGCAGAAATATTAACCTTTCAGCGTTTTTGGTGTACATTCTTTTGCTGGAAATGGATGTGTCAGAAGCCACTAATGTGAGAGAATTTTGCACCAGTCAAAAGTGAGGCTGCAACCACCACCACAACTGCACCATACTTCTGGAGACCTTGCTCCTCTCATTGGAAGGGAGGCATCTGGAGTTCTTTAAAAATCGTTTAGTGGTGATGGAAATAATTTCCCATTGGCCCTTCTGCAAGCACATTTATATCAGGCAATAAAATACCCTCTCCCCTAAAATACTAGCAAAGTATTTAAATACTTGCCTAACTTTAAACATATTGAAGATAATGGGACATAGGTATTTGTTTAACTCTATGCATAAAACTAATCATGTGTTTTAAGTGCTCTATTGGCTCATAGCCTAGAAGAAGAGAAAAGAAAAGAGTATGTTCCACAGTGAGACCCCGGGCATTTTGTCAGGTGATTTTCCCTGTTACAAATGTTGTGAGTGAATTTAAAGCTTGGACAAAATGCTAGCTTGGAATCTGTGGACAGTCTGTATCTCCCTGTTCACCAGGCAGAGAGAATGGCAATTCATACTCTTCCCAAGCCACCCTGCCAATGCTTTTCGAACTGGACCTTGAGGAACTACCTCTACAGCTGAGGGATTAGTTCACCACCTCCAACTTTAGCAAGACTCAAAAAATCTTCATTTTGGACAGGAATGGAAAGAATTTCAAAGGCAGAAATGAGAACTGGGGGGCCTTGTTACCTTTTGAGACTTCCCTCCAACTGCTGGCCTTTATAATGTAGTGAGCATTTGTGAATAACCTGAATCACATGCATTTTCTTATATGTAATGTTTTTTCTCCTGCTGTAGGTTTATCCCACTACTATGCGAGCACTGGGGATGGGGACAAGTGGGTCATTGTGTCGGATTGGAGCTATGGTGGCACCATTTATAGCACAAGTAAGAAGCTTTTTCTGTTACATTTTGTTGTGCGATGGTGGTTGTCAGTCAGAGGAGCCCATAGACTGGAAGTTCCTCAGGCACTTTGAAACAGGTTTTTAGCTGTTATTTTTTTTAGTGGGCCCATTGTTGTGTTTAGTAAGTTGGTAGACTCCATGCCCAGTTGGCTTCCCAATACACACAAGGAACACTTTGTAGTGCCTCTTTTGAAATTTGTCCAGCCTTTGCCAAACCATTAGTTGTTTACATGGGGGAAAAGCCCAAATCCTGTTTTGCCTAGTCAGCTGCATACTTACATGTCAGAATGTAGACCTGTGGAAGGCACAAAGGACAGCATTCTATTGTCCTGCCAAAACACCTATCGCTTATGCAGACTTTAAGCATCTAAGCCAGGGGCAGGCAATTATTTTGGGCGGAGGGCCGCTTACTGAGTTTTGGCAAGCCATCAAGGGCTGCATTACAGGCACCCAGGGACAGATAAATATTACTTTTCTAAATTTTTAGGGGCCACGCAGGATGGATAGAATGGCCTGGCAAGCTGCATCTGGCCTCTGGGTCACATTTTGCCCACCCCTGATCAAAGCCATTCAATGACATTCTACTTTGCATGCCATGAATCATATTTACACACCTAAGGGTGCCAATACATGTGCTTAGGGGTGTGTGGGGGTGTTAATTAGATTGGTTCCTGAAGAGCTGCTCTTATTAAAATGCTGCAGCATCATGTATATTAAGCCCCAGGGCATTTAAAAATGACCATGGGACATTTTAACTATAGATCATTTGATCACCTTTAGTTAAAGCATGCCAGTGGCCATTTTTAAATTCACAGGGGCTTTATACACATGATGCTGCAGCTATGCTAGAGCATTCTAATTTGAATGCATTGGTACATGCGTATAGGCACCCTAAAGGCTTTACCCAGTTAAGGCAGACATTTAGTTCACTTTAGGTGCCCAAATAGCAGTTTTCCAGTGGGGTATTTGCCACTTTTGGCACTTATGTACAGTTTGGACTCCTACTCCCAAGCCGTATAGACATGTAAGATGTCCACACTGAGCATGTGCAGTAGGTTATGCACTGTCTGGGCAGCTACTGGGTAAACTTGCCAAAATTTTATCCAGCAAGAATAGAGAAGGAAGGCACTTCCAAGTTTGCACCTCTGCCAAGACAGAGGAGACCCAGAAGCCCTAACAGGGAGAAATGTGTGCATGTGTCTTAAAAAAAGAAATAGGTACCTACTCAATTAGTAGTAGCAAACCTCAAGGCCTCTGCTTTCCTTTCAGAAGAAAGCCCACAAATGCACAGTACTCAGCCTTTTCTAGGCCTTTATCACTTGCCTAGCAGTAGAGCCTGCCACCAGCAACAACATGTAATTCATGTAAAACATATGGCTCATAGTGGCATTATTTCAGCAGTACCGGGGTGTACCTGATGTATTTGGCATCAAAGTCACAAGGCAGAAAAAGTCTTAGGAGCAGGAGCCTATGACTCCCTCCCTGGGAAGGTAGCAGCCCCCTCTGTGCTCAATGGATGGTGCAG